CAGCAAAGGATAGAATATATACGTTCTACTCTCAAAAATTAAAATAAAAGACAACCATCTGTCATTACTCGAGAAACCCATGCCATACACAGCAAGAAGTGAAGGTAAAAGAACTCTTTTACTCACTGCTTTACCATTACACTTGTTAAATTTATCCATAGAAGGTCCAAACATGCTGGTAAAATTAATTTCAACAATCACCAATTAAATTAACTAAAAATCCAAAAATAAATAAACCACCAATTCTACAAAGAAACCGCACTTGTGGAGAAAACTAATCTGGGTTGATGCAAATGAAACACCATCCATATCTCCCTAAACACATACACATACATATAAACATATTCAAATAAAGTGTTGAATGCTAGATTTAAATGAATACTTGTGGTTTCTTTATAATAGCTTAAGGTTTTAAAGCAGATCATTGTCCCTTTCTAATGAGATGGCCAACAGAAAAATACAGGAATAGATCCAAAAGTAATAGGAGGGCATGGGCACCTGAAACTCCCATTCAGCAGCAATGGCTTTAGCAAGAGCTAAAGTTGGACACTTGAGAGGTCTCTTTGAAGGGGTTTTTAGGGTTCTATAATCCAACATAACATTCCATCCATTTCCATCATCAGCCTCTCTAGTAGTCACCTTTTTGTAGAACCTTCCGCCAACGATCGACCCAGTCATGAATGAAATCGGCATTGTAACAGAAGATTCTGTCTTTTTGGGGTTTTTAATGTATATATTGTTATCTTTATTGGATATCGAGGTGGGTACATTTTCGTTAGAGGAAAAGGTGAAGGATGAAGATGGGCTGTCAGGTTCCGGTTGGCCGGCGATGGCTACGCCGCTCAAGTGGCGGCTTTGGGAGGTGAGGACTCGGAGAACGGTGGGGTTTAGGGTTTTTAAGGCTTTTGTCACCGCCGTATATGCCATTTTCACTGTTGGGGGTATGGCCGGGCGCAGAGGTGGATCTAAGAATTTTCAGCACAGGCTAAAATTCATTCGGGGAGAGGTTGACCTTCAATCTGCAAATTCTTAAAATCACACACACGCACAAAATAAATAAAATAATAATAAAATAAATAAATAATATGAAATTGCACTAATTGTCCATTTTTGACTTTGCATTTACAAAAATGTCACTTTTTAAAAGTCTTTGCAAAATTGTCAATTTTGGACATTTTTGCCTCTCTAAATAATTTAAGAGGAAATTACACCAAATGT